TACAGTACATGGCCTCATTCCCTTCACTGCATTGGTGCTTTAGTGACTTGTTCTCATCCTAAACCTCTTGCAGAAAAACTATTCCAAATCATAATATCACCACCTCCATAGTTGACGGTAGTTGGAAGCTTGTTGCTTTTCATCTCTTTCTCTTAAAGGATGTAAATTCAAGCCAAAGAGTTAGATTTTAGTTAGCTGCAAAGCCAAGAAGCCTGGTGGGGATTTTATATTTTCAAACAATGCTTTTTGTATCTCATTTCCTCCCTTGCAGATCTAGGCTGTGTCCGAACGTCTGTTCTAAGGCCTAAATCCCTCAATCACCAAATACACGGGGACTTTATAGTGGACTTTATAGTGAATTCAGTAAACTGACAGTTCGGACAGATGATCACTACTTTTTGCTGGTGCCTGCGCCATCTTTGTTATTAGACAGCGGGGCCGCTGTGACAACAAATCCCATGATGCTTTGGGAGGAGAGCTCTCCTTGCAAAGCATTCTGGGATATATCTGTTTGTCTTGAGACCATGGCTCTGTTTGAAAACCTAGGACGTGTCCTCCAAGGACGCGGTCTACCTAGACTGGATCCTTCGAAGTCCTTGAAAATAAGGAGACTGGAAGAGTTTAGGCTGTGAATTCGACCAGGTCCACCCTTCGGCGGGTTTTACCGCCGTATGCTCTGTTGCTTAGCAACCGTAAACATTGACACACAAAGCAGGAAAAGAATGAATACAGAAGTTTTCAAAACTGTTTACTTATTTCTTTTTTATTGTGAAGTGAACAAAGACTACACTCACAAGAATCCAGAGTGGAATAAAGGTTCCAACCACCGGGAGCAGGAACAAATCAAATCAAATGTAATGATAGAAACCTTAGTCAGTTAAATAACCTGCTGCTGTCATTCTGCACATCTCTGATGTTGCTGCTATTTTCAATTATCCATTACTGTAAAAATGTCCATAGCTGCATATTGGTTATTTATTCTCCAGTGTTATATTGTTAAAACCCTTTACAGTATTGTATTGTTTATATTTTAACTCTTCCCTATTATGTTATTCTTATACATTTTTTTAAGGTCCACATTTGTGTGACCATTTTCAATAATCTTTCTGCTGCTGTAAATTTGCCCATTGTGGGACAATAAAGGGATTTTCTATTCTATTCTATAAAAGGGGTAGAAATATATAAGTAAATCTAAACAATGTATTTATAAAAAATATATCTGCAAAATCTCTAATATTCAACAACAAAAAATACGTAGTTAAGCATTTGTGCAAAACAGCAATAAAAAGATAAAAATCCTATCAGATTTATAGTCCCCACCCTGCAGATATATTAGAATCTGTTCTTAAATTACAGGCAAACCCATTTACACAGTAACAGATAAAAACCTTTAGATAAATCAAACATTACCGCCACATATCTGACTCAATAACCATTAAAACAACTATTTTTCATTAATCTCAGACGGAACTATTAAATGACTTGTATTATATTAAACTGAACTTCCAATTTTCACCACTGTTCGGCGCTAAGTAACCTTTCCTCTGATCACAGCTTGCTTGGTCTCGCAATGAATCCTGGGATATCCAAGAATACCGAGGATACATTGGACCCGTCCTTCAAATCGGGCAAAAAGAAGGACGCATTTTAAGGCCGCATAACGAGGACTCTTAGAATCCCACCAGACCTCGGCGCCGCGCTATGACGTAATCGGCCTTCGAATCCGGTCTTCTAAGGATGCGTCCTAGGTTTTCGAACAGAGCCCATGTATTTTTCAAGGTCCACTACTTTTTCATACACTAGACATTCAGACACTCAGCTAAATGTCGTAGCCACTATAAAGTGCCCTATATAGTTCCCTATATAGTGGTTAGGGTGACATTCGGACACATCCCTAGAGTATTCACTCGAATGTTGCAAGACATTATTCATGATTTCCTATTTTAAGGAAAATACCAGTACGAAAGCATGAAATACTGTTTTCAGCTGTGTAAACCGGAAAAACTAAGTATTAAATATAGGGATAGTAATTTAAGTAAGTTCAGACCAAGGTAGTTGTAAGAAATAACTTAAGTGAGTTGCCAGTTCTTATATCTTTAAATTGTTGTGTATTTGATAAGGTGAAAGATCAGATAACTTTTGTTTTTTTAGTTGTAAGATGTGGGAAAACCAAGTTTTGGAGTTGGCTTTTGAGCTAGAGGCTCTATGTTCTTTTAATGTTGAATTTCAACAATACAAATAGTGCTAAAGAGATGCTGCCAATCAAAATAACTGTGCTTGTTGTGCATCATGACAATAAAACCTTTAATTTAATTCTTATTTTAGTCTAAATTTGACCTATGATTAGTTGCCCATGACCAGGGATTGGAACTACAATGAAGGAATCTATTGGTGAGCTAGCAGAGCATTTGGTTGTGTAGCAAAAAAAAAGGAGGGGGGGGGGGTGAAACTCAGACTGTTGCTGCTCTTTAAACAAGGAATTGTTACGTTGAAATCTAAATGACAAATTTCCACACTAAGATGTCAATTGTAAGTGTAACATTTATCTAAGTTTAAGATTGCTATTTTATTCGTTATATTTTCACCACTTTGACATGAGTTGGGGGGAAAAAATCAGCATTTCAAGTTATGAAAACCTAGAATTCAAAGTTTGGCAAAACTAAAACAAAAAACCTTGATAATTAAGTTAAAGTCCGAAACTTTAAGCTTCCTAAGCTTCCTTTTTTTTAGCAGTGTGAAATCTGTATGGAGTTGATGGAGACATTTGAACACATTGATTAGTTACTGATATGAGGTGAGGATGAGCAACCAGCTGCTTGTCACATGATTGCATCACCAATAACTAACACCTATTTCTCACTGAATTTAAATCTGTATTGAATAATTTCATGATCATTTCATTTATCTGTTTGTTTAATCATCAAGTAATTAAAATGCACTCACGTAAATGTGATTTTAGCATTCTGATGCTTTTGGAAATTTATAAACAGCCATTAGGACTGAATTTTGTTCTGTTTGGTTTGTTTTTGAATAAGAAATAATAATCAAAATAGCAGCCCTTACTTTTTTGTGGCATTTTTATGCTAAAGTTATTCACAGGTGGTCTAGAAACTTTAGCAGGCGGTTCTATTCTTCAATCTATTCGGTGCTTTCTGAAAGTTACAAGATTCTTCAAAATTACTCAGAAAATTATACAGAAATGTAGTGATATCAGAACATTTAATTTCTAATTTATAAACTTAAATCAGTCCTAATTTATAAACAACCTCCCTCCCAAAATGAATAAATAAATCTGTAGCATAAAATCATCATTTAAATTTATATCCGACACAGACGTTGAGTTTAATTCCTGAGAATCACGTTTTAAAACAGTCTGATCTAAAGGCCCTACATTTTCAAATATACAAAAGTGGACATTTTTACAAATGGAAAATCCATGTGTGCATTCATCAAAAAGCTGGATGTTATAAGTTACAAATAAACATCAAATGCAACTCATGTTTTATTTGTCCATTTAATAACTAGACAACACGCCAGGGTTTTATACACTCCCTACAATACTTACGGTACAAGAGCCATTGGCACAAATATTCAAATACCAGACGGAGATGCACAGAGAGCCCTTTATGATGGGATATTTAAATATTGGAGGAAAAAAAATGTTGCACACTGCAGGTCTGCTCATATTTCACCAGCAGTGGCTCAAATGTAAGACTTAAACTCTCTCCTTCGATTACCTCTGCTTGTTTAATAACTGAAAATGATTAGCTGAGGCCGGAATAACAATTTAAGTTTCTATTTTGTAGGATGGATCTTTCCAGGATCTTTGTCATAAATTAGCCCCTTTCTTTAACTCAAAAATGTACTTTACATTCTATTCTGCTAAGATATTTAAGAGCCATCTGGAGTTCAAAGTAACAGTTATTTTGCCTTTACTCTTCATGGTGAATATGTTTATAATGGAATAATATGAAAAAAACCTGTCCTACAATAGTTTTTATATATATTTTTAAACTTTTTTTAATGTGTAATTTTATAACATTAAACTTTATTGAAAATTCAAGTTTTATTAAGGTGAATTTTTGTCTACCCGCCCCATACTTTCATACTTAAATACGTTATAGTGCAACCAGCTACCTTCAGAAGTCACCTGATTAATAAACAGTCCAACTGTAAAAATTAATCCTTTCAGCAGAGACTTTAGAGTTTTGTTGCAGAATATTATGGAGCAAAAAGAAAAAAATAGAGAAGTAGAATGCGTTAAATCAAAATTAAGCATACTCAGCATGTTTTAGTTTTTTGTATTCATTTCATTATAGTTAAAACCTTGATTTATTCTTCCTCCTACTTTTTTTATTAGTCTATAGAATTGTTCTAACGTAGTTTAAGAGCTCATTCCCATGTATGTTAGTGGTTCTTTCTGCTCCATCTTGTGCAGTTAGGGGATTGTTTTTATTTATTTTTTATTTTTTTTTATTTATTTATTTTTTTAATTGGCATGCTTTGAGCTCTAGTCAATCTGGAAAAGTTTTTTTTTTTTCTTTTTTTTTAACCGATATTAGAAATCGTCATTGCTGCAGGGGGGGAAATATATCATTTCGATATATTTCTTTACCTATTTGATCCTAACTCCTTTGTCTTTCTGACATCATGGATGTCATCTTCCTGTTTCAGACTTTTATTCATCTGGCTGAAATCACCTTTTATTGTGAATCCATCTCCTTATCTTTCCTTCACCTTTTCTCCTCTTTCTCACGGCTCCCCCACCTTGAAGGGGAATGGAGAATAGGTAGGGAGCGAAAAAGAAAGAAAGAGAGAAACAGGGAGAGGAGGGGTAAACCGGTTCAGCAGGTATAGTGCGGCCTAACCCTCGCTCCCTGCAGCCTGTCACCGTTATTTCTGCAGCGCATGCGCGCTGGCGCATGTTTCCTGCTTTTTTTTTTTAATGAGTACCTGAGCTGTTGTTTGACCCACCTTTGTCGGCTTTGACTCTCTCTCTATGTGTGTGTGTGTGTGTGTGTGAGTGATCAGGGATATCCACCGTTTTTTTTTCACTCGCTCTCCCGTTATTTGAAGGCGCTGCTGAGTCCGCTCTGCTTTTACCTGCCTCACCTGAGCAGACTCACCTGTTCACTCGTTCCTTTCGCTCTTCAAAACTGAAAGCCTCACTTTGAGACGGATTTTTTTTAAAGAAATATTTAAAGATAAACCTTACGAAACAAGAAGAAAAAACGCAAGGAGGAGAAAAGAAGAGGATCGACCCTTGCCACTTTTTCCCCCTCTGCTTCCTGCTTTTCAGCCGTTACCTGGTTTGACGTCGTTTTTTTTTTTTTTTTTTTTTTTTTTACTTGAAAAGCAAAAATAAATATATATATAATTATATTTAAGATTTAAGAAGAGGACTGGTTGATTTTAAGGAACATGCCGCGGGCTTTTCTGGTAAAAAAGGCGAACGTTTCGCCGGGAAAGCGGAACTGGAGTGAGCTGCCCGACCATGAGAGAGGAGACGTTTACATCCCAGGTGAGTCCACTGCTGCAGTAATGAGCCATGTTTGGTGTTTAGCGGGAAACTGGACACTAACTAAGACTCTAAGGGGGTCACAGCGTGTTGGTTTCGGTGCCCTTTACGCACAGATTGGAGCGTAATTTACGCGGGGATTGGAATCAGGCCAGGAAAGCTGTTGTCGGTGTTGCAGGTGGAGGTAGAGGGAGGGGGTCCGGTGTGTGGATGTAACTGGGCCACCTTAGAGTTTGCGAATAACGGGAAACCCGATGGGGCCCCTGGGAGCCTATCGCTTCTTCATTGCAACATGTTTTTTTTTTTTTTTGCGTAAAATAAAATTAAATGAAAAAAGTGACTCATTTAACATAACCTAAATAAAAAAAAAAATATTTGATTAGATTTAACTCTATATAAATATCTATGCAATGTCTAAATATAGTTCTGACGTCTTCAACTGCGGGCCTTTCTTTCCAAAGGGCCCGTTGCTTTCCATCGACCTTCAACCCCTGATTGCACTCCTCCTTCCTTGTTCAATCGCTCCGACTTATAAAAGTCCACATGAAGGCCCGCTCCCTGAACGCACACCTCAATCAAAACAAGTCGCTCTTTTCTTTATGTTCGGATCCTTTAGAATAAACAGAACCCATCCCCCAAATTAAGACACACAGTGATGCGGATTTCAAATCCTTATGTTTACCCTCAGCTTTCCATGACTATCTGATCTGATTATTGGGGAACATCACCACCCCTCCTTTTTTTTTTTTTTTTTTGAGAACAATCCCCATTGTTGCCGTCGGCGGAGTTTTTATTGTAACAGGTCGTCGGTATCAGATAACAAGTAACGGACTACACCCTAAAGTACTCTCTGACCCTTCCCCCGCTCCTTCTTCACTGTTTTCCTGCGTCTTCCTCTCCTCTCCCGTTAACTTTTAATCATTGACTTCTACATCCTCCTGGCTGTTTGAACTGGGATGAACTGCAGGAAAGCTGATTTTTAACTCCACCGATGCCTTAAATTAGCACTATCTTTCAATCAACTCTGGATCAGCTGCTCTGTTTTTTTTTTTTTTTTTTTTTTTTTTGCTTCCCCACAGCATTATGCTGCTTCCACTGTGTTTCCCCATCAGAATGTTGTGTTCAGAGCTTTCTGATCTGATTGGAGCCCCATCTTCTACATGTTTGCTTTAAACTCTGACATGGCTTGTAGGAAAACTACCATTGGACATCTTGTTCTTCTAAACACTCACCAATAAAGGTTGAATTTGTGGATTGTGAGGATGTAGAAATCTGTCCCCAGATTGCCCAGCCTGAAATATGGATCTCTGCAGCGACAGAGTTGTCTGAGATCTTAAACGCTTATAATATTGTTTCTTCGCAATTGTTGTTAAACTAACTGACGGGTGAAGTCTATTCATCTATTGTAACTTTATGACAATTTCATTTTATTTAGAGGTAGGGAATAAAAAAGGGTTGAACCCACCCTTACCCCACGTATGATAAAAAAATTCTTGCTCTGTTTTAGATGGATATTTGCTTGTTGTGGAGTAGAGTTTTTTTTTTTTTTTTTTTTTTTTTTTTTTTTTTTTTTTTTTTTAGAAAAACAGTAAACTAATAAGCAGTTCAGTATAAAATACCAACCTTTAAATCTTTAGGTTTTCAAGTTTAAATCTTTCAAGCTTGAAACCAGAAAATGAACGGGACATATCAACCTGTTTTTTTAAATAACGTGTTGCAAGAGCCATATCACCCACATCTTCACTCACTACCATATATTTGTTATATATTTCCATGTCAATGTCTGCAAAACTTGATTTTACTTTTTTTCACAAATGATGACTGCCAATTAAATCCCTTAGTGGTAGAAGACCCTTTTATTTAATTTAGTTTTAAGACTTATAGACTAAAAATAAACCTGGAGCACCTGTGCCTTATGACACATCGTCAACACCCTGACAAAACCCAGCAACGGTCTCTGCTACAGTTTCAGGTATGTGCCGTTACTTGATGTACCTGCCTGGAGTGCGTTGGCGTGCACGCACGAAAAAAAAAACAAAACAAAGGACACCGCAGTCCAAATGAACACACACACACACAGAGGTATGATAATTACCCAAGGGAGAAATAGAGTAGGTGTGCTAAATACTTTTATTATGAGCCACAAGATGCCATCAGGATTATTTTTCCACATGATGATTTTGTGTATTTTGGAGTTTTATTTTTATCTCATAATCCAGAAACATGTGTCGGGGCCTGTTTCTGTTGGATCATCAGTGTGCTCTGGTCCTCCTCTCAGATTAAATACAGCTGATGGGATTTTAGTTTCGTAACAGTGGTCTTTAACGTTGCAACAAGCATACAGTTATTCTTGACATTAAGATGAAAGCTGTGCCCCAACCCCTCCTCTCCTTTTCTTTTGAATGTATTGTTTGGAAATAGTTAAATTCTGTCAGATTTAAGTTTTTTAAAGAAACTGTTACTTAAAACAATAAAGGAAAACTTAAATTAGACTTCCTGGATAAGACAGCAATAGCCTGTTGAACAGGTTATTCTACATTCAGTCTCTTTATGCGATACACCTACTCTTCAAGTGTTTGTAAGATGGGTTAATTGTATTTCTCTTAAAGTTTTGATATATTTTGACAGTAGTTTCCTTGTGGTTAGCGGAGGGAGTGTGTGTCCTGGGAAAGCTGGAAGTTCTCAGGTTCAAATTCCCCAGGCTGCTGCTGTGGGTCCCAAAGTGAGACCCTTAGCTCCAGGAAGCTCCCCAGGCGCTGCACAGTCGGAGTTCACGGCTCCCATTGGGATGCTGGAATTCAGAGTACATATATCATGATAGTTTACTAAATTGTGATGAAAAATACAGATGATTATTATTTTGATTTGCACTAAGTTAAATCTCTATCACTCTCTACAAGGAAGTTTTTATGTTATAAATGAGTGTTTTAACAAAAGGATAACATAATATGGCATCTAAATTTCACATACAGCGTATCCGTTAACAATAGCATTCATAAGACCTTAGATTTTGGCAACACATTTAATACTAAGAGCTTAATCTTTTGAGACAAAGCATTTTTGGCTTGGAAAAGAACCAGAAGCCTTTGCTAAAACTATTACTTTCCAAACTGTATTTACTAAGTTTTGGTGTCGTTATTTAGTTATCTAATTAATTGCATAAAAGCAAAACTAAATAACAGGATTAAAACCCCATATGGGGTTTTTGGAATTAAAAAAAAATATATTTCCAAAGGAGTCTGGCCAAATCAAAATATGACCAAATATTGCCAATGTAATATGAATTATGCATTTAATAACTTAATTCCTTATCCATGTTTTTATTTAATGAAAGCAGGATTCTATATGTAAGGAATCTTATTTTGTTCTTCAACTTAGAACCCAAGCAGCACATTTGCTCTCTCTTTAAATTGGCTTTAATTGCTATTTATTTAACAGAAAGACATTAGTAGTCTTAGATCTATAGCTATATAAGTTCCTATAGTTAGTTTTAGCCAATAGCTTAGCATTAAAATATTCACTGAGTAGCACTTTTTTAACTGAACAAATTTGGCATGAAAAGTTTATATGAAATATAGTTATTGAATCCTAGAATCCTAAATTTTTCTCTCTTTTCTCTTTATGCTTATGCTATGTATACACACACACATACATATATATATATATATATATATATATATATATATATATATATATATATATATATATATATATATATATATATATATATATATATATATATATATATATATATATATATATATATAATTAAATATTAATATAATATTTAATATGATAATTTCAAGTAATGGTTAATTTTCATTCCTAAAATATGGCAAACGGGTAATCTAGGTAGAGTATATATTCACCACAATTTTGAGATAAAATCTCACATTTATTCAGCCCTGTAACCAGCATTGAGAACGTCAAGGTCATGTCCTCGGTATTTTCTCTTTTTAAAATGATTTTATTACTATAATTTTTTTTAATTCAGAGAAATGTCCAACTATATTTTGAAAATTGTTCCGACTTTGGTGTGAAGATCAGCATGAATTCTTCATGAAGTCCACAACCATATTATTCCAAGTCATTTGATACATTTAGTGGGCCATGCACATGCATGTGGATGATGGTGACAATAATAATAGCAGTAATAATAATTCAATATTAATAGCAATGATAATACTATAATATAATGATGATGATAATAATAACACACTCAAATACTCTTAATTTTGTGAGTTTTGGAACTGTTATAATAAGCATGTTCATATTCACCTCCTTGATCAGGCTTATGATTTAACTCTCTTTATTCACGTTTCCAAAATATATATTTAAAAAGTCAATATATTAGGATGTTTTTTGTCAAGTAACATTTATGGCAATATTTGACCTCAGTATATCAAAAATCCTGGTTACGGCCCTGCATTTATTCCATACTTTTCTTCAGAATTAGCTTTTAAATATTTTATCCCTCAGTAGCAGCAGCTAGGTGGAATTCATGACCCATTCAGGGAGCTAGAAATATTTTCACAAATGTCTATATGTTTTAACAAGCTGAATACACATAGTGAATTATCGCAGTGGATTAATGATTCAACAATACAGGATTGCTTTGAGACTAACCAAACACCAAATATTTAATTGCTATCATCCTGTTTTGCCAAAAACTGAGTTGAAAAGAGGAAATTTTTATGCAGCTTTTGATAAGCAATTTTAGTATCTTATCGTGTTTTAGATTTGATAGAATCAGTAGAAGCTGTATGTCATCTACATGCCTATTTATATTTGTAAACTATGAGTATTAGTATTGAATTATTTGGCTTTTAATGATTTCAGCAGATTTGGGGATCTGCTTAAAATGTCGGCTTTCAAGCCGCCTGAAGGTTAACGTTTATTGAATGGAGGAAAATGTAACGGACTCTACGAACAGCCGGCTGCTGCAGACAATACACCTTTAGCAAACACACGCTGAGTCACACCCAATGTTTGATAAAGTTATC